CTTGTTGAATCAAAATCTGTTAAAGATGCCATATGATCATTAGGAAATAGTCTTAAACTTGATACATTTCATGATTACACCAAAACTGTGTATATATAAATCAGGTGCTAAATTACAAGGGGGAGGGAGGAGTCAATGAACATAGTGTCAGGACTCCAGAAAGAGTTGGCACTTACCGTGAATCTTAAAACAGGTGGCAATGAATAGGAGGATTCCTGGGCAAGGAGAGTATCTCTTAGCAAATCTCATGGCAGAGCCTGGGAGTTAAGAATGCGCATCTAAGAGATCCTTGGTGGTCAGAGCACTGGGTTGGCAGTTAGAACCCAGCAGCTGCTCCAGGAGGGGCAGACGAGGCAGTCTGCTTCCATAAAGATAACAGCCTCAGAAACTCTATAGGCAGTTCTGTGTCCTGAAGGGTCGCTGTGAGTCAGAACTGACTCAGTGGCAGTGGGTCTTTTGGCAGGAGATTGAACCACTGCCTGAAGCAAGATGACATAGGAATTCTCTGAAAGTTTCCTCCTGGAGCCATGGCATCCTTGCTTAGCTATGCATTCCACTCACTGTCTTCTCTGTGGGCCTTCCCAGCCAAGCAAAAGCCTCACCTCCAGGGGTAAAGTGGAAAACCCCTGAAGCCAAATACCTTGCTCCACTTTCAACCCAGGAGGTCCCACATGAGTTTCTGGCCACTCTTCCTTCTCAGTCCTGGACCACTTTGATAGTTGCTATTAAGGTTAAGGGAGCTCCAGTGGCATAGCACCTAAGGCATTCGACTGCTAACCAGAAGGCTGGCGGTTCAAACCCACCAGCCACTCCTGGGAAGGAAGATTGGCAATCTACTTGTATAGTGATACTGCCTTGGAAACCCAAGGAGGGGTCTCTATGAGTCAGATTCAACTCGACGGCAGTGAGTGTGTTTGGGGGAGTGGGTCTTATGGCTCCCAGGTGGCCTCAGAGGCATTTGTAAGATCATTAATTGAAAAAAAGAAAAGGTAGGAAAAGAAATGAACTTACAGAAATTGTTAAGTGTTTTGATAGCATAGTTATTCCAAACATTTTTAAAAAAAGGCTTGTGTTCTTCCCTTCCAAAAGTTTTGAGGTAGATTACAATATTTAAGAGACCTGCACTGTTGGACTTTTAAGTGATAAAACCAGAGATTCATCCCAAAGATTCAAAACGGGTAAATATGACCAAGTATCTGGCTACACACTTTTAATTTAACCGCAAGGTGCCTGGAAGGACAAAAAGGCAGTAGTGTGGGTTGTAAGGATTTAATTTTCTGGCAAAGCAGAACGTGTTCACCTGTGCAATTTATGGGACTTGATTTTCTTTGGGTGCATCAAGGAGTCAATCTCCACATCCTACCATTTAGACACTGTGGGGACAGCGCCGGCTAATCTTTGGCGCTTCTCTCAAGGGAGGAGGCACCCAAGTGTGGTGGGTGGGAGGGGGCCTCAGAGCCCACTGGGCCGTGGGGAGGGGGAGTTGTTTGGCATGATCCCGTGTTAGAATCACTGTGAACAGTTGGTCACTGCTCAGCCACAGCTAATCTAATCACTTCTTCTTTTGTCTGTCTTTTTTCTTCTTCCCATCTTGTTTTTGTGTTTGTTTTTCACTTTGATTCTGTAGTGTAAATCTGTATTTAGGTCCTACTCCCAGGATTTCGTGCCTCACAACCAAGCTTCCGTTCAACCTTTCCTTCCGTCTACCTCCTCTTCCTCTCCACATTTCCCGCCTGTCCACCAGTCTCAGAGCTCTGACTTAGTGGTACCAACTGTAGCCAGCCCGCCTTCCAACACCGTGGACGGGCCTCTTTCATCCTCTCAGGAGAGCAGCTTTCATGGGAACACTGTCTGCCTTCCTTCTGAAACCTCTTTCACTGACTCGCCCCAGACGCCTTTGGTGAGAACTCAACAAACACACCTTCACATGGGCCTGCACATTTTTTTTTTTTAAGAAAGCAGTATCACTGTTCTTGAAAGACATTCCTCCTTGCCCCTTTGTAGCAGTCAGGTCTGTTGCTGGTGTGGGCACATTTCAACATGCCTAGACTTTGCATAAGGAGCTCTGGTGATGTACTGGATAAAGCATTGGGTTGCTAACCAAAAGGTCAGCAGTTTGAACCCACCAGCCACTCCATGGAAGAAAGATAAGGCAATCTGTTTCCATAAAGGTTTACAGCCTTAGAAACCTTATCAGGCAATAGGTTTGGTTTCTTTTTGTTTTAGGTAAGGACTGTCTATTTTCAGGACAGAAATTAACCTTCTCTACAGAGTTTCTGTCAAACTAGGAATCTGATGCATTAGTGACAAATGAACGAGTGACCATTTAGAGATATTTATCACAAGCATAAGATAGAAAATGCTACTAGCTTTCTGTGTTTGTTTGATCTTAGAGAAATGTATAAAGACATTTGAAAGTGTAGAAGTGACAGAGATCAGGAGGATCAAGGGAAATGGCATATTGAGTTGCATGTGGCGATGACAATCATGGGCCTGGTTTCCTATCCTATTAATTTACCAGTAGTGCTTCATCCGGGCACACGGAAATGTCACTTGCAGGTTGACATGGACACCTAGATGGGGCAGGGACGTGCAGGCAAGTGGGCCTTAACTTTGCCGAATGTACAGTTGTCTTGACGTGCTGCTACTTTCCCATGTCTTCGTCATCATCTCCCACAGCACTGCTGGACAGGCCCCACCTTGGCTTAGTATGCTTTCCCAGGATGATTTGAATGGCCCTTGATGTCCTTGGAGAAGAATCAGCAGGAAACTTGGGCCTCCTAACAGAGAAACAGGAGGTAGTGAAAGCAGCTTTGTTCTCTGGCCCTGGGGACAAGCTTCCCATGGGGTGTAGAGCACGTGCTGTCGCTGGCGTGTGAGCACGCAATCCAGGGAGCATCTTGGTTGGGGCAGCCCTTTGGCTGCTCTCTCTGAACCTTAAAGACTGACTAGAGGATCTATCACATGTCTATTTCCTCTCATCCCATCTTCCCTAGAGTGAAAACGCCAGTGAGGAAGCTGGTGAGGGTGAATACGTCAATCTGTATTCCTCTGGCCAGAGCAGCGAGGAGCTCCCTCACTGTCGAGGAGTAAGTAACCCTCAGTAGGAGGGCGCAGTCCTAGTCTAGTGCTGGCTGCCTCATGCATGTGGCCTCGCTGCAGTTGGGCCCCTGCTCTCCTGAGGCTGCTTCCCTTGCACCTGCTTCTGTTGGGCTGAGCAGCCCAGCCACTCGTAGGCTAGTCTCCCAAAACCTTTAGGAAGCCAGCTCAGCTCATCAGGGAGAGATCGTGTCTTCCTGGTGGTGATCTTCCCTTTGCTTCTGCTTCAATGTGTGTGTGGCACTTCATCAGAGCCTGGCAGGATGGGTCTTCTAGAAATCTACAAGGAACAGCCTTGGCATTGGCCATGGCCTCGTATCCAGCTGCCCTCTGTAGGATTTCTTTCTATCCCATCCTCTAGTGTTGAGCTCCATCTTCCACCCCTCACTCAGAGTGAGGAAGTCTTCCCCACACCAAGACTTCCAAACCCTCATTTCCTGTTCCTCTCCAGCATGCTCCGTCTGTCCTTTTGCTTCCAAGGAAGCTGGGTAAGTCTGGCAGATTAGCCCCTGCCATGTTTATGGATACATCCCTTGTGAGAATGAAGAGTTGACATCCTCCTCGTCATTATATTGCTGTCCCAGCTTCTGACACTTGAGGTACAGCAGTTCTGTTGAGCAGTTCATTTTCCAGGTCTTGCTGCGGTAGAACATAAGTAACTTCCGAAGCTTCAAAAATAACTCCACCACCAGCATGAATGGAACGAGTTGCTTAAAGGAGAGCTGCCATGAGGACTGGAGTCCTCCACAGTTGCCAGTCCAAAGGGCCTAGCCCTTTAAGAGCTTAGTCACTCTCTTTAAGATGGTCCACAGCAGGATCTTCACAGGTTCTTTGATGTCTACACAACAGGCCAGACTTTAGACCTTAGCAGTCATGGAGCATTGAGGAATTTTCACTTCAGTGGGGTTTCACCCTGTTTGTTGGGGGTTAAGCTGTTTCTCTCCATCTTGCCCATTCCCACCAGAGACCTGTGCCCACCATCATCCAGCTCAGCATCAGAGTCATAGAGCCCAACCCGGCTCACTTTCCATGGCTTCCCCTCTACCAAGGACTCATTTCAGCGCTTTTTCTTTGCCTTGACGTGCTCTCCACTGATAGTGTTCCACATATTCATGCTGCCCCCATTCTCCATCTGCCTCGGTGGCAGACCAGGGGTGTTAGAGGGCCATGTTGTCACTGTGTGGGTCAGCTCAGAGACTTGAGGGCAAGCGAGGCTGAGGAGAAGGAAAGAGAGTTAGCACCCATGCACTAGACCTTGTCCAACTCTAACTGGAAGGTAACTAGGGATAGGCCTCAGTTTGCTTTGGTTGAACAGTGCAGTACTGAAGTCTTCCTTTAACTTTAAAGTCAGCAAAGTTTTCCTACATGGCAGCATGGCACAGCAGTTAAGGAAGGTGGACAGCTCAGGGTTCGAGTCCAGGCTCTGCCACTTATTAGCTGTGTGGTCCTAGGTAAGGCCCTTGACTTCTCCAAGCCTCTTGTTTCCTTGTGTGTGAAATAGGAATGATGATGCTAGCCAGCTGAAGGTCTTTTTAAGAATCAAATGGGAAGATGTGTGCAAAGCCCTCAGCACAGTGCCTGGCTAAGCTTTGGATAGGTATAAGCTATTATGATGGTAGTGCCCTTTCTTTTAGGAGGTGGTCGAGATGGCTTCATCTAGGTTGACAGCTGACAGAATGTTATAAATAGCGGCACCCTTCCACTCTCTCCAAAGGCAAGATGCTAGTCTCAAGAGGTCCTTGTGTTTCCTGTGTAATTAACCATATTCATCATTAACTTGTTCACATCTCCAATTGCTCCATAGGAACTTGCACTCAAAAGCCATTTACAGGCAGGAATGCTGGAAAGACAGATCAGCCCCAGCATGAGCACCTGCCACAACTCAAACTCTCTTTTTTCAGGAGTCACCAGCTGTGAAAGATGGACATCCCAAAGATTCCTCTTCCATTGGCAATACACCTGGGAAGGAAAACAGAGAAGGCGGTGAAAGGTGGGAGTGAAACACATGGGGCCATGTCCTGTCTGCTCCTCCTGTCCTGTGGTCCCTCTAAGAGCAGCAGTAGGAATCACCTGAGCTCCCCTCTGCCGACCAGGGCCCCAGGCAGGCCTGAATTCTCAAAATAATACATGCTCAGGGCAGAATATGTGGAAAGGAAAGAAAGCTGCAAGGAAACAGGAAAAATCACTAATAATTCTGCACCTCAAGGGCCTTCATTCCTAATATATTATCTGCTATTACTTCGTAGTTATCTGTACATGTAACATTTTTCACTATGAACAGAAGCCACACCTTGCAGGTTTAGAACTACGTAGTAATTTTTCCCAGTATACACTTACAAAATAGAATGTGTAGGATCTGCAAATCTGCATTAGTTGGACCTCACCTTCATGGTGATATGTTCCACGTGTTCAAGCTTTTTCTCCCCTCTTTAGGCTGAGGTTTTGCTACCTCTGTGGTCCTGAGTACTCTCAGCAGAGCTAAGCAGTGCCCGCTTGTTGTTGTCAGACCTAAACATGAATGGTTAAAGAGGAGGCCAAAGTAGCAAGAGAAAGAAAGAAAGAAATTAGAAATCATTTTCTAGGGGCCCTTTGGAGAGGGCCCTCACCCAGCCTGCCTCTTTGCTTCTCTTTGGTGCCATCCATGTGAGTCCGTGCCAGTTCAAGGTCTTCACAAGTGCAAAGCCAGAAATGGTAGGTTTTCTCGGTTTAATGCCTAGTGGAAAAGGGTGTGTATCCAAAGCAAAAACAACTAGTTTGTTCTGTCTCCAGCTTCATTGGACCCAAAAGTGTCATTTTCAGAGTCCCATCTGGTCCTTGTGAAGGAAGCAGAAGGGTAAACACATTGGCTGGTTAGAAACAATTACTGGAGCATGCCCTCTCTCCACAAAGGCCCAGCCGCAGACCGACATTGACAAGACATGTAGGAGGGTGCTCCCTCCCAGGACAGAGGACAGATCTGCACTGGTCCATCCATGTTCTTTTCCTAGAGGCATATACCTTTACTTTCAAATACTCAGCAGTATTTGAAAATGTGGCCTGCTTCCACAAAGCTGATCAATGCCTCACAGGATCTGCCATAGAACCCTAAGAATAAAATGAGAATGTAGGAGAAAAAGCAAGGTATCTTTAGCCGGAACTTCTATTTTACTCCCTAGAATGCCCCAAGCTAGAAAGCTTGTCTTGGGTACCTCCCAGCCTTCCTGCATTCTCCCTCTTAGGGAGTGTTCTCGACTTTCTTCACTTGGCAAACCCCGATTCAGTGCTTTAAGTCTCAGCTTGTTTGTCCCATCTTTTGGGGCCTCCCTGGCCCCTTAGACTAGGCTGGGTCCTTTGCTTGTGTTTCTGATAACATTGTGCACACTTTCTCTTCCATCACACCGTAACCACTCGTTTCCATGTCTGTCTCTCTTGCTAGACAGCATCCTGAGGACAAGGGGCCACATCTGCTTGGTCCACTGCTGCATCTCAGTGCTGGGCAAGGGTCTGACCGAAAGCAGGCCTTAGAAAAGAAGGAATTGCATTGAGATTGCTGCTAACTTGGCTCTACCTTTCCTTCCATCCTACTTGCCTTTTGCTATTCCTCCCCTTAAATTCTGAGTCTATATACTGTGGGCCTTGGCAGTGAATGGCTGACACCATCACTTTTTAAAGTAACTCACTTACTGAAACCTTCTTAATCTGTTTTAATCTTTTCGGTTCACAGATGGGACATCCAGAGAGAGAGAGAGTAGGAAATGTCCCCAGGTCACACAGCTTATTGGCAACCACGTTAGAAATCCAGTTCATGCCCTGGCTCTGTCCACTGCTCTGTCCTGCTGTGGTGGGTCGGGAAGTATGTCTGCACATCCAATTTTAGCTGTGATTCAGGGAAGACTTGTTCAGGGGAAGCAGGAGATGCTCTCCATGGATCTAATGCATAGTTCCCTGTGTAGGGCCAGCACTCCTCTGCCCTCAGAGCTTCATGAGCCCAGGGACCTACTTTGACAACACAAACTGCTTCTCCTTCCAGGACGTCAAAGTCACCAGATGCTCTGGAGGCAGCTCAGTCAGAGGAGGAGGTGGACGAGTTGTCCCTGATTGACCACAATGAAATTATGTCAAGGTTGACACTCAAGCAAGAGGTAAGTTCTTCATAGGTCTTCATTTTGTAGGATCTGGCCCCACGAAGAGGGAACAAGGAGAGCTTTGAGGAGAATAAAATCTTGAAGTGTCTCACACAGAGCAGACCCAAGCTGGGTTTTGCTACCAGAGCCGGCCAGTGCTCCCAAGAGGTACACCCAGACTGTGGCTCCTGGAGGTGGGGCTCTGTGCATCTCATTTATGCTGGCCCAATGCCAGGGACATCATGGGTGCTCAGAGATATTGGGCAAGTGGTTGAATTCAAGGAGAAAATGTACTGCCCCTTCTCTTGATCTTCTCAAGAGTGATGCTGGGTTGGTTACAAACACATCCAAAGCCTCAAAGGATGCAACTCTTGGGGTCGTTAAGAGAATGTATCCATGTCGCACTCAGTACAGAGCCTGCCTCATGAAACATAAGGCATTTCTGTGTTATTACGATCACCTCACTGCAGTTTCAGCATGGGAGATACAGCTTAATTAAAAAAATTCAGGCCCAGATGCCATGGTTTGTCCATCTTGTGCCTTATCAAGAGAGCATCACTGGGAAAAACTATCCCCAAACCTGTCACAATAAAAGAGGAAGCTATCCTGAAAGAAACTTTGTTCTGTCTTCTACCATGTGATTCTGGAAACAGAAAGGAATGGCTTAATCAGATAGCCCCAGGCCAGTCCTCAGGAAGTGGCCATGTTCCTGGGCTCCAGTTCCATCTCTCTCTCTCTCTGTCTCTTTCTCTCTCACTCTCTCTCTCTCTCTCTCCCTCTCTCCCCCTCTCTCTCCCACGCGCACACACACACACATACAGAGGCACGTGGCAGGTAGGCAGACGTTGCCCCTTTACACATTGCTGGGCCAGGCTGAACTAGTGCCAGCTGCGGCAGAGAACACACAGGGAGGCATTGACCCTCCACCTGTCAGCAGGAAGAGCTAGCAGGCTCTTCCTCACAGTATTGCCAGGTACGTGGGCACCTGGGCTCCTCTCCAGAGGGAAGGGATGTTTCATGACCCTTGCCAAAAACGTTTTCTGGTCATGGCCATAGCCACCCCCACCCCCACCGGAAGTCCAATACACTTTCAGGACTCTGAAGTCAGGCAATAAAAAATACCTAAAAAGGGGATGAAAAGTACCTAATGAGGCAACCGTGTGTGCTGCAAACACGAGGAGGCTGGCAGGGTATTTGATTATGTTTGCTTCAGAACTATAAAAAGGAGGCGAGGCCTGGCGATGTAAGGCCTGTGGTTCCATTTCTAGCCCTGGTGACAACTCTTTTTAACTCTAGGCCAGGTTTGTGGACCCATGGCTCTGTTTGCCCACATGAAAAGTAAGACTTGCTCCCTTCTTGACAGGCAGTGGTCAGTGGTCACGTAAGGGATGTCAGGTATAGTTGGAAGTCTCTCTAACACCGTACACTCCTCTGCTGAAGAGTCCATGGAGGAGCCTGTGGTACAGCTACAAGTGACTGCTCCATCTACCTCAGAAACCGGGATTTAGATTTAGGGCAACTTGCTTCAATTTTACAACATGAGCATACATGGACATAGTCTTGCTGCCTCCACAGTTATCCTGGGGAGGGCCTGATGGGTGGTCCTGCCTGCCTCCCCTTAGGGTCCCAGCATTCTAGTGTGAGAATATCCTGCCTCTTTCCTCTCTGCCCCATGGGCTAGTGGGAAGGGAAAAGTTGAGTGGTACCATTTACCCCTGACCCACTCATGTCTTCAAAGGAGTGGATTGCCTAGGCAGCTCTCAGGACCAATCCACTTCCCGGATTAGGTTCTAATCTGCTTCCAAATGCTGACCAGAGAGGAATGGGTAGGCTGCAGCACAGCCACTCTGCTCTGGGGTAGGGAGACCAGAAGGAAAGGGATGGTCTCTTCAGTGCAGTACATTGTCTCATCCCTGCCTGTTACTTCCAAACTGACTTTAAGGCTGTGGTCTGCCTCATGCCCACCTCTTCTGTTTTCATTGCAGGGTGACGATGGACCAGATGTCCGTGGAGGGTCTGGGGATATCTTACTGGTCCATGCTACTGAGACAGACAGGAAAGGTAAGGGAGCCCACACTGCAGTGGCCTTGGTCTATGGTCAGAAAGCTCAAAGGATCGGAGCTGATGCTGCCAAAGCGAATGCAATCCCACTGCTGTCTCCTGGCAGCCAGCCCCTGCACGGTTCTCGATGGTCTCCTAGTCCTCAGGGCCAGAGCTGGAAGAGCCATTTTAAGAGACAGGCCACCCATGTTCAAAGCCAGGCCCCTCTGCTATGGGCCCACTCTGAATCTGACACCCTAGTACTGGGGGTTGTACCCCATGGAATTGTCAGGAGATGAATGACCCCTGCAAAGCGTGGCTCACAGTGAGTATTCAGTAAGTGGTAGCTTGGATGACATGTTGAACAATGAGGCTAAAATTATAAGTGGGCACCTTTCTATGCTTTTCCTGATGTGTGGCCCATGTATCATGCCAGCCTGCTAACTGCGTTTAACTCAGGTCCTCCACTGGGAGAAATCCGGGAAAAGAGTTTGCTCTATCCAGGAACCTCCAACTCATTAGCAGTGCTATGAACTCTCACAGGATGAAGCTCTCACTCCTAAGCCCAGAGTTGCCCCCCCACCACCACTCTGCTTAGCACCAGGGAGCATGAGAGGGTTGGACACTCAGGCTGTCCCTTAAACCTTGTAAGGAGGTGGACTCTGTACTAGCACTAGCTGTCATTCCAGACATGTTCTTGAAGGAAGGAAAGGATGAGGGGCTGTGAGGAGAGTGCCATGGCAGGAAAATACTGTGGTCTTAAGCAGGCGGGGTGGTATAGCCCGGAGCCAGAGCAGGGCCGGGTGGGCCGCTACAGGCCAGCTCTCTGCACACGAGGCCAGAGCTGCTCCTGGTCATCTTTTTATGTTATTATTTTTTTTTCAACCTATTACAAAGCTGATGTAACAATGTTATAGTAATTTCTGGAGGCGATAAGAACACCATGACCTTGAAACCTTAATCCAGCTAATTGCATTTTTGTAAGCAACTTTGCCTGTATGCTTTTACATTAGATTTCCCTAAGTGTGCTAACACAGAATAATTATGGGAATTTTTGAGTTATGAACAGTAGTATGAAAAAGATGACAATTTGAAAACTAGAGAAAAGAAAGAAATGGCTTCCACGAATCCATGGCAACCACTCTTTGGCCCTTGGAGTTTCTTCATGCCCTAGATGCACTCTATGGGTGAGACCAATCCTGGAGTCCTTGAGTTCATGTCCCAGCCATGCCATTTGTAGGCTTGGGCAACCCCTGGGTGCATCCTACCCTGCTCAGTCTCAGCCACCTCAGCTTGTTGAAGAGGTTAACAGTGCCCACCTCACAGTTGATGCGAAGAGTAGATGAGATGGCATGCAGCGTGCCTGGCGCATGGGAAGTACTCGGGAGGTACTGCCTGTAGTCCTGAAGAGCAAGTCCTTGCTCTGGTTTTCTGCAGTAATCCTACTTCATGCCTTAGAAATCTGGCTAGGGTCTGGCTTGGTCTTCAGCTGGACATAAGAAATCTTTTTGTTTTTGTCCAAAAAGTGAAAAGCTGATTTGGGAGCTGGCTCTGGGCCTCGGCTCTAAAGCATGAACTCTACCATCCTGCCAGATGGAGCTAGCCGTGGTGAAGGCCCAAGACTGAGCCCCGCAGGCAGGGCCGCCTGAGAGCCCCTCAGTCTGTGCCGAGGCTGTACTGCTGAGAGGAGGCTCTGCTGCCAGCGAAAGCTTCCAGTTGATTTCTTGATAGAAAGATGGGAAACTCCATGGGACCATAGTTTTTGTAGTTAGGCAGTGTTGCTGAGGCCCTGGGCTAGACTGGAGGAGGCAGGTAGCAAAGCAAGCTCTGTGGGCAGGTGGCTTCCTGCTGCCCAGAGACCACACAGTGACACGCACTCTTGAGAGGCCTCAGCACTCAGACATCTGGGACCCAGACCTGCAGAGACACCTCAGCCCAGATGAGCCCCAGTGAATGGGAAATGCTTTGTCAATGGGCAGGTGTGCTCTCAGGCAGTGTATTAGCAGAAGCAGCATGGCAGAGGAGAAAGCTGAATGTGGTCTCCTCGGACCTCAGGTCTTCTGGCACTATGAAGTGCAGCTGTTGCCATTTTGAGTCATGCCACATCAGCAAAAGGAGGTCCCGAAAGCTTTACTCCATCCACATCATTAAGGTCTGTTCTGCTTTGAGGAGGCAGCTCTATTAGTCGTATTTTGAGTGCCTCTGACCTGAGGGGCTCATCTGCCAGCACTCCAGATGTATCAGACACAGTTTCAGGGCTTGGTTTCATATTACTTGGTTCCACTGTCAACACCAATGGAAGCAGCAGTCAAGAAATCAGACAATGTATTGCACTGGGCAAATCTGCTGCAAAAGACCTCTTTAAAGCGCTGAAGAGCAAAGGTGTCTCTTTGAAGACTAAGGTGCACCTAACCCAAGCCATGGTATTTTCAGTCGCCTCATAGGCATATGAAAGCTGGACAATGAATAAGGAAGATCAAAGAAGAGCTGATGCTTTTGAGTTGTGGTGTTGGTGAAGAATGCTGAAAGTACCACAGACTGCCAGGAGAACTAACAAATCTGTCCTGAAAGAAGTGTAGCCAGAATGTTCCTTGGAAGCAAGAATGGCCAGACTTCATCTCATGTACTTTGGTCATGATGTCAGAAGGGACCATTCCCTGGAGAAGGGTATCATGCTTGGTAAAGTGGAGAGTCAGCGGAAAAGGGGAAGGCCCTCAGTAAGATGGATTGTTACAGTGTCTGAAATGACACTGTATAGCAAGGTATAGCAAGGATTGTGAGGCTGGCACAGGGCAGTTCTGTTACACTTAGGGTCACTATGAGACAGAGCTGACTCGGCTGCACCTAACGACAATGACAGCAGACCTCAGGTCAGATCTGGCTCCAGTCCATCTGAATTAGGGATGTCACTTAGCCCTCATGGGCCTATCTTTCCTCAGTAGGAAAACTGGGTCTGATAAGACATACCCTTCCAAGGTTGTCATGAGGATCATGTGTGCCACAGTAACACAAAGTGATCTGGGAGGTACAAAGAGCTATGTGAACATAGAAAGTGTGGTCCATCACCACTCTTAACAAAAACCACATGATACCTCCTTTACCATGACCCAGATGAAGACCTGTCAACCTGAGCATGAACTGTGGCACCACTGCTTACAATGACCTCAGACATATCACTCCCTTTCTGTGGGCCTGGTATTTCCCGTCTCTAAAGTAGGGGTGGGAGCTCTGGTAGGTAGTGCCTAAGGCATTTGACTGCTAACCAGAAGCTGGTGGTTCAAACCCACCAGCCACTCCTTGGAAGGAAGGTTGGGCAATCTACTTCCGTAGTGATACTGCCTCGGAAACCCAAGGAGTGGTCACTATGAGTCGGATCTGACTTGAGGGCACATGCCAACAGCAACATAGCTACTCTGGGAGCTTTGGTGGCATAGTGCCTAAGGCATTTGACTGCTAACCACAAAGCTGGAGGTTCAAACTCACCAGCCACTCCTCGGAAGGAAGATGGGGCAATCTACTTCCATAGTGATACTGCCTTGGAAACCCAAGGAGGGGTCACTGTGAGTCGAATCTGACTCGACAGCAGTGTGTTTGGTTTTGGTTTAAAGTAAGGGTGGTCTCTGCCCCTCGTGGGGCTGCTCCAGGCATGCTGGAATGTGGTGTGTAGACAGAGCTCGGCTGGGAGCTCACTGGCAGTCCTGGGCCATATCCTCTGTATGGTCACCATGGCCACCAGCAATGCTGAAGGTCATACTCTGCTGGCTTCATTCTTCCAGTAGTAGTCCTTGATCTATGCTAGTCCCATCACTGCTTCCTTGCCTAGCACCTCTTTGCACCAAATCCCAAATTTGACAGAGCTGGGTGGGGCTGAGGGTCCTGAAAGAACCTGAGCACATGCTATTGGACTCTGCTGTGAGTTTCCCTCATGCTTCCCGCTCTCCCAGAGGACACAATGCAACACAGACCTCCAGGTGCACAGGCAGGTGTTGGTTTTCCTCTTACATCTGGCTAGGAGGTGGTCTGGGGTACTTATGCATCTGAGCCTTGCTGGAGAAGTGGGGTTTCTCGAGCTCCTTGCCATTGCCTGGCAAGGATAAGACACCCTACAAATGAGAGGATAAATGAGAGAAGATAGAGGAGGGTGACCTGTGCCCGAAAGGAAAACTTAAATTGTGTGTGTAGGCATGCGTGCTCGGCCTCATGGTTAAGAACATAGACTTTGGAGCCAAATCTGGATTTGAATGCCAGCTCTGTCATGTCATAGCTCTGTGGAATCAGCAAGTCTAGCTTGGTCATTTGTCTCGAGGAGTGTCCTGCCATTTAAAAAAATTCCATGACTTTCTTCTTTAATGTCAGAGTCAGCATGGCTAAGAGAGTGAGCCACAACGGCAAATACACAAGGAGGTGTCAAGATTCCAAAAAGTTTTGGAGTCCCTGGCTAGACCCAGCCCCTCCAAAGGGAAGGTAAAGAGGGGGGTGAGAGCTGCCGCCCTGCCGGGGCTCGTCCTCCCACTCTCCCTCACCCCCGACTGCTGGAGCCATGCTCCTAGAGTTGACTTTGCACCTCCTGGTGCCCGAGGGTGCCCGCATGTGCATTCCAGCAGCATGCCACTCTGTGCCTCTTCAGCCTTTTCTTAGGCCTCACAATAAGTGGAATTTCCAAAATTTTTTGCATTATTGGAGCCTGCCTTCTAAAAGTACTTTCTATGTATGGTTTAGCTTCAAAACCTGACAACTTTGAACTAATTTTCTCTATGAGTATGGTGATTATGACCTTTCTAATCATCAACTCTTGGAATTTCTCCCTGTTTAATCCAGAAGAAACAAATACCTGGAGCAGACATGTTGCCAGTCTTTATCCCCTGCCAGCGGCAGGCGTTACTAATCAATTGCAGTTCTCTTTCCTTCTAGGGCCTGCCTTGGCCTCAGAATCCACTGCAGCTTCATTCCCAAGGCAGCTGCTGGCAGTCATGTAAAATGTCCTTGCAAGATGAAACCATGTACTTTTTCTGACTCTGATCACATTCTTATTTGAGAGACGTGGAGCTAGATCCCAAGAGGATCGGTGACTCTCTGGCACACACAGACAGGGCACCAGAATGGGCTCCAACCCTCCTGCCCACTGCCCACTCCCCATGGTGCCTCACCTGCCTCTCTGAGTAAGAACTGGTCTTTGAGGATTTCCCGTCTCGTCTCTGGCCCAGGGTTGCTCACCCCCCAGCCCTCTGCACCTTGACTAATTGGCTCCTTTTGTCCTTCCCTCCAGACTTGGTGTTGTACTGTGAAGCCTTCCTGACAACCTACCGGACCTTCATCACCCCTGAGGAGCTCATCAAGAAGCTGCAGTACAGATACCCTTCTCGGCGCTCGGCCTCAGCACTCAACCCTGCTGAGCAGCCCTGCTGGCTCCGCCCTCCTGCAAGGGGGCCGGGTGGTCATGTGGGGCGGCAGTGTGACTTGGGAACATTGGAGTCCAACAGGCTGGGATTTCCATCCAAACTCTGCCATATACCAGCTTTGGGGCGTTGGGAATGCTTCCTGTCAGAACCCCACTTGACTCATCTGTGAAAGGGTTGAGTGAAGTTATATCAAATGCCTGGATTATAATCAGGTTGTGCTGCCTGATGGCACTAGTTATCACCGACTTGGTAGTCACCACCGGGTGACTTTGAAAAGGACTTCCCACACAGGCAAGCATGTGTGCAGGCTGCTGCAGAGACCAGCTGGGACTTTGCACAGTGTATGCCATCCCTGCAGGGGGCAGCCCTCAGAGCTGCAGCCCCGGGTGTCGAGGGGATGGGTGTCAGAGTGCAAGAATGAGGGAATCACAGTTCAGTTGGACAATCTCAGGGATAGGTACAGCCACCTCCACCTAATGGCAGACCCAGCAGTGGACAGTAACGCCATGGCCCCAGCTAAAGTCAATCCCTGTCCCCTCCACCAGGTCTGCGCCATGATCTCACGATTTGGTAAATAGCACTTTCTGCCATGGTAACCGAGGGAGCCCCTGGGAGCTTGGATGGACCTACTTGCATTGCGTCTGACTCAGGTCCAAACTCACCTACCTAGAGTTACTGCTCCAGAAATGGGGGTGGCCCTGGCGCCTCTGCACCTCGGTTGTCTCCCAGCGTCATAGTCCACCACTGCCACCTGCTGGACAGCTGCTGTCACATCGGAGCCTCTGCTAGGTCCTCCCAGGTCTCTGCTGTTCTGGTGTCATTGTCTCCATCCAGAACTTTCTCTGTGCCCCCTCTCCCCTTGCCCTACTCCTTAGATTTCTTGGTCTGTCAAGGCTGAAATAGAAAGTTCCCCTTTGCAGAAACTTAGATTTCTTCCAGCTTCACAGGTTCTGTTGCTCAAAGCACCTACTCAATGCTTGGCTCAGTGAATAATAGAAATTTGCACTTACTAAGAACATGCTAGCATCAGGCATGATGCTAAGCATGTGCACACATAATGTCACTCAGCCACAACACTCTGACCTTGGTACCATTGTATGAGTTCCTGTTACGTAATTGAGGAGACTCAGGCTCAGAGAGGTGGCTCAGGACTTGCTGACCCAGGTGGCTGCTGGGTGGGCTAGCAGCCACATCCTCAGCTCTCTGCCAGTGAGGTTAAGTGAGTTCTTAACCTCTGCCCTGCCTGGCTGATTGAGGTTGTGTTGGTGTGAATGTGATAGCATCTATTTCCTGGACATGCTGGCTAGTGAGCCTTATGTGCTGTGTGCCAGGTGGGGCACCCTGGTACTCTGCCCTCCGTCCTGAATGCCACAACATAAGTCAGCGATGGCTGGAGAGCAGTCAGAACGCAGTCAGAAGGGTGAGCCCCAGGGGAGGAGCTAAGGTCTTCAGGTGGGTGAAGGGCTGCTATAGAGAAGAGGGCACAGATGTGCTCTTTGTTGCTCTGGGGAGGCGTTAGGAGATGAGAGCAACTTCTCCCTAAGACAGTATCCAAGACACGATTGGCCACAGGGCCAGGGAGGTTCCTGAGAGGCTTCGGGTGGCCTGTGCAGCTATGTACGGGACAATCTTAAAGTGGAAACTCATGGAAAGAGCCTGGAAGAAGACATCTCTGGTTTATACATCTCTTAGGGTGTTTGGGTTTTGATCCCCTTTCTCTTACCTGAGGCACATAGGAAACTGGGTTAAGCTGCATGGAAAGCCAGGCCTGGATGGTGTTTTGAAGATGGCTCTGAAGGCAAGAGACGGTCATGGTGGGGATAGTCTTTGGAGTCAGGCAGATTTGGTTTCATATCCAAAATGCCACCCCACCAGTTTGCATAGCCCTTTGGCGTCCTTGTGCCTTCGTTTCCAGTTGAGAAAGCCTTACTCATAAAACTCTTGGCACATAATAAACACTCATTAAATAGTAGCTAGAAGTTAAACCTCTCATTCGCCCCTTGCCACATGAGGATTGGCTGTTTCCTTAACCCATACTCCACATATGAGAAATTTTCCCCCTTCGCCGACACATTCAAGAAACGTGTCAGCAAGAACACGTTCTTCGTGCTGGTGAGAGTGGTGGATGAGCTGTGGTAAGTGCTTTCACTAGTGGAGATCCTGGGGGAAGAGGTTCTCAGGGTCTGGGGTGGGGTGTGCTGGGCTTCCTCCTTCTCCAGGGAGCTCTGGACAGGACTGCCTCTGGCTTGCTTTAACACAAATTCAACCCCTTCTCAGCCCTTTGAGAGGCTGAGAAGTGTGCCCCTTAGAGAAGAGTAGGGGATCTTACCAACCCCAGCTTGGGCCCTGGGTTTTCTTAGAGGGCGCACCCTGGACTGGTCCAGAACCTGTCCCAGGGCCATCCTCCCACTCTGGCTTCGGACGAGGTCCACAGTGAATTGTGCTCTTAGCCACCAGCAGTGTTGGAGGCTGAGGGCAGTCAGGTCCCCTTTCAGTAGTAAACAATACAGACAGGCTCTGCTTTCAAGGCAAGAGCAGTGACCTCAGGCACTAAGTGTCTAAGTGGGACATTGTAATACAATGCTAGGCAGGGAGAGGCAGGGTGTGCCATAGGCAGTCAGCCCTCCCAAGGTCTTTTCTTCTCACTCTTCCCAAAGGAGGTTTCCCAACTCTGTGTTGATCATACCTCTGTGGCCTTTTGGAATTTCACTTGGGTCCCAGACTGAGTGGCTGCCAGTGCTTTTCCTGGGTCTTATATTCCTGCCCTTCACCTTGTGGCCCTTTAGCCTAGTGGAATTGACAGAAGAGATTTTGAAGCTGCTGATGGAACTGGTCTTTCGCTTGGTGTGCAACGGGGAGCTCAGCCTGGCCCGTGTGCTCCGGAAGAACATCCTGGACAAGGTGGACCAGAAGAAGTTGCTCAGGTGTGCCAACTCCGACCAGCCGCTGGCAGCCAGGGGAGTAGCAGCCAGGTGAGGAGCAACCGGCTGCATGGTCAGGCCCAGCCCCCCGGAGATGGGCACTCTCTGGGCCTTGGCTTTGACCTGCTTCCCCAGCCCTTCCTCCTCTGACTGGAGAAGTCCTTGGGAGCAGCACCTTTCTGTTCCTCTGTGCTCAGTTTACCTTCCCTTCATTCTTCCCAGCCCCACAGCCTCATCTCTTCGCTCTACTCAGACCTGTGATGAGATACCCCTAGGATAGCGAGCCCCATGGCTTCCCCTATGAGCTAAGGTTCCACTTTGAGGGGTGTATTTTATGTGATAAGTCACCTTCTTAGCAGGAAATGGGATGGCAGGGCATGTGGGGGATTTAGTGGGAAATAAATACTGTCTCTGGCGATTGGCAGCTCTTGATTATCTTCATGGCACTAACGAACATGGCAGTTGTTAGTTCTAGCCCAGCCTCCCTGTGCCATTGGGAACATTCCTAAGAATCTGTATAAAGCTTTGAATCTGTTGCCTGCCCCCTTCTGCCCCACTCCCAAGGAGAATTTTAATTCCAGATGTAAATATTTGTTGACTTACCAGTTCATTGACAGTGAGCATGTTAGCCCTTTCATATGGCACCATCTCCGTTCCAGTCTCACTGGCCACCTAGGAGTGAGACTGAGTTCTTAAGCACCTGAACTGTCTGTGCACTCAAAAGGGAAACTCAGTCTCCCCAACTCCTGAAACTACAGGACATACATAGCAGAGGGAGGAGAGAAAAGTGGATGGTGTTGTCCCAGGAGATGCACCATGACTGGGAGGCAGACCCTGGTCTGGTCCTGTTTGCCGCCAAACTGCTGTGTGACCTCCAGAGAGACCCTGATGTTGCCTGCTCTCCTGTTGGGAAGGGAGGCTTGGGGTGTACCTCCTTTGTCTGTGAGTACAGCACTGGCTCAGCCCTCCTGACCGCTTTTCTCACACCTTCTGTCTTTCAGGCCAGGAACCTTGCATGACTTTCACAGCCATGAAATAGCAGAGCAGCTGACACTGCTAGATGCTGAACTCTTTTATAAAATAGAGGTATGGTGTTCAGGGGGCAGGGTGTTGGGAGGGGTAGGTTCATGCAAACGCTGGGGCTGCCCTGTCCCCATGGGCATCTCCAGGTGAGAGAAACCATCGTCAGAGGAAAGCCAGAGGGCTCCAGCTGTATCCAGTTTATTTCCTTTTTTTCAGATCCCTGAGGTCTTGCTTTGGGCAAAAGAGCAAAATGAGGAGAAGAGCCCCAACCTGACCCAGTTCACTGAGCATTTCAACAACATGTCCTACTGGTAAGAAAAGGCCTCAGCCAGAGCCCCACGTCTCTGATGGCCACACATCCAATGGGCATCTGTATTTGCCTTCACAGAAAGCCTTCAGCTCCTCCAAGCCTCAGTCTGAAGCCGTGCGGGCATTAATTGTGAACCATAGGCAGCAGAAAGCTGGGTTCACTCTGTACAGCAGCTCCCAAGAGTTGGAAGTTGCCACCTGGAGGGCTAGTTGAAGAGTCTGAGGCTCAGCAGAGAAGGGAAGTGCCAGGATTGATTAGTAATGCCTGCCACAGATTATAGTGGGTTAGGGGGACTGTTTTCCATCCTGTGCTAGTTGTCAATCTCTCCACTGCCCAGCAGCTGTTAGGACTAATCCTCACACTAAATCTGCCTGAAGAAGAGCAATTAGCAAAGACATGGGTTTTATTAATACTTTTATTTAGCCCTTAGTTCTTATGGTGAATTGAAGCCCAAAAGTATATTTATGATTCAGAAATCTCAGCCCTTCAAAATGTAAATCAAAAGTTGCCGCAGCGTCATGGCATCGAATGGAAGATCAGACTGAGTGGGGCAGCCCCACAGCCTCAAGTTGCAGTAGGAACTGCCCTACACAGGAACCACTGCTGCCACCAGTCTGATATTTCCAGAAAGCTCTGAGGACTGCTTACTGGATGAAAACAGGGCCATCTCCTGCTCTCCCTGCTTTGCTCCCCCACAGGAAGCCCTTCACTCAAATCAGTGTGCTCAGCAAAAGTGACCCATCATACGGTGTAGGGTTTTGCCCGATAGCATGTGGTGTTTCTAGGGCAGAGTGAACTGCCCCCATAGCCCCTGAGCCTGGCTGCCATCACAGCCCCTGTGTTGAGTAAAGGAAGACCTGACCGGCCACCCCAACAGGGTGAGCTGGCTAGGAGGTGGGCTGGAGGTGGTCTTCTAGATCCATGGCCCTCAAGGTGTCCTTGAGGCAGGTGCCCTTTCACAGGGCTGGCAGGACAAAACGGAGGATGGCCTTCTCCTCAGTGAGTCTGGTCGTGGGCTCTGTGAACCAGCAAGTCGAAGCCTCTGTGAAGTCTTGGCTACACACTTGGTACAAACAAGACTAGCCTTTGCTCTTGGCTTTGACTTTGGTTGGTGCCACTGTCCAGAGAAGCTCCCGGCAGCCGTTCCTTCTCTCGTGGCTGATGAAGATGCCCCCTTAACCCACAAGGCCAGCTCATCTCCCCAGGCCAGTCCTAGGGCTAGGCCCTTCCATGTGGCCTTTTCTGGCCCCAGACATGCTCAGGCTCACCATTTGCCAGGAAAGGCTCAGCTTTGATCCTCCATAGCCTCCCACTGTCTGGAATCGGGCATCTTCGTCACAATGTGTGGCATTGGCCCCTAGATTCCTTTGTGGCATCTAGCCTCTGTCTCTGGGATACTGTACGTTCCTTGGGAGCAGAGACTAGGTCTGCGCTGGAGTCCTGCACAGTCCTGGGCATCAGCATGCAGTCTCAGGGCCGGCTGGTTCAGGAGTTTGACCTCACCCCACCCCCTGCAGGACTGCCGGTCAGCGTGGCTCTCTCTCCTTCTCCCCCTTGATCCATGCAGGGTCCGGTCAATAATCATGTTACAGGAAAAGGCGCAGGACAGAGAACGGCTGCTTTTGAAGTTCATCAAGATCATGAAGGTACCTGTGGCCACACCCTGTCCCAGGCGTGGGGGGCCTGGTCCTGCTTGGCTCTGCCACTTCCCTCGCATCTCGCTCACTGGGCCTCGCCTCTCTCTGTAGCACTTACGGAAGCTAAATAACTTCAACTCTTACCTGGCCATCCTTTCTGCGCTGGACTCGGCGCCCATCCGCAGGCTGGAGTGGCAGAAGCAGACCTCAGAGGTGAGCTGGGGCTGAGCCCTTTGTGGCCCCAAGTGGGGAGGCCCACCTGGCACCTGGGCAAGCTGGCTATGGCAGAAGATGCTGCGGCTGGAATGGAGTCCCAGCTCTGTCACCAATCTGCTGTGTAGCCCCTGCCACAGTTTCCTTGTCTCTAATCCTCTCGAACTGTCAGATCTCAAAGGGGCTTCGGGGTGGGCTCTGGGGCTGTAACATCATGACAGTCCTGTGCCACAAGCCTGTACCTGGGTGCCAGCTTCACCTGCTCGTCCCTCCAGCTGGACTGCAGGGGGCATGGGGGATGTACAGTGAACAGGCCAGACATGGGTGGGTGGATTTCTGCAGGACAAGTGCAGAAGAAAAGGATGGGTGGGGTGCTGAGAGCAGATGACAAGGCGGCCTGACCCTTCACTCAAAAGATGCAGAAGAATTTCCTGGGAAGGGAAGAGCCTCCCTGTCAGGGGGCGGAGGCATGCACATCCAGCAGCAGATGGGAGCTCGGCACAGGAAGCAGGAAGGAGGCCAGTGTGGCCACATCACTGGGAGGAGAGGGCAGTTCTCTTATCACCAGGGCCTCAAGGAGCCTGCTGAGGAAGTGGGACCTTTATCTTTTTGTGGAAAGATACTCCTTGAGAAAGGAGGCCAAGTCCACTGGGCTTAATGTTGGCTGGGCCACTCGGGTGCTACCATGAGGCATACGCAGAGGGACGCTTAGGAAACCTCCAGAAGATGCAGGAGAATGGTGTTCCGAGCAGAGGGCAGGATCAGCTTAGTCTCACAGGCAGGAAACACCACACTGCATGCAGGAAACACCGCACTGCATGCAGGAGGCAAGGAGCATTTTGCGCTGCTGAGGGCGGGGTGGGGAGCCACATTGCCCCCGGACGCCTGTGTGAGCGCAGTGAGTTGCGAAGGAAAGGCTCTGAACCAGGAGTGGCCCCGCGCACTTTCAGAGAAAGCAAAGCTCACTCGGGCCGCGGCGTGGAGGCTAACTTCCCACCAAGTAGGAAGCCCTGCTTTCAGTGGCTGTGCACAAGGTGGGTGCGGTGACTGAGATGATTCTGACCAACAACAAGGAGCCCTTGGGGTGTTTCTCCAGTAATGTCTGGCCTGGAGTCTCCTGCAGCCACGAATGTGGCTGACAGTAGTGAAAAGAGCCCAAATCCCTGCCCACCTGGGGACACAGCACAGTCTGATGCAGCAGTCAAGTGTGGGTGCTCAGTGAAGGCAGGGTAGAGGGGTATTTGACCAGTTGGTCAGCAAGGTGGAGCAGGACCCTGTCCCACTAAGCATTGTCCCAGCACTCACTTAGCTACATAACGTCCTCACCAGGGCCTGGCCGAGTACTGCACGTTGATCGACAGCTCTTCCTCCTTCCGAGCCTACCGGGCTGCCCTCTCAGAAGTGGAGCCTCCCTGCATCCCATACCTGTGAGTAGCACCTTCCTTGCCTCCCACATCCCCTGCCTTCACATGTTTTCCCAGCAGGAGATCCACAGCTGGGGGCCTGAGAGGGTGGCACCCGGGCCACGCAGGCCCAGCTCTACCAGCAGAAGAGCAGCTCCCCGACCCTTGCTCATTTGGCCTCCCATCTTGCTGTAGCCTATCTATAAATGAGCGCACCCCACCCCCATTTCAGGTTTTGTTAACTTTTTACTGTTAATGTACGGGTTTTTACATCAGCAGCCCACAGCTATGTGCATATACACGGCAGCTACATTTGGTTTGCTGGCAGACTCAGAGGTATAAGGGGCTCTCCTTGTAGCAAGTGGGGCCTTAGCAGCTCTCCAAGGCCCAGGCGTGGTTTTCCCAGAGACCCAGCAGACGGTCATGGACCCAGAGTTCATGAGTCAGTAATTCACACTGGAGGAAACTTGCAGCCTCGTCCCAGACTTGCTCTTTGGTTCTGGCAGCTGCTCGGGCCCAGCCCTGAGGACCGGGCCCTGGAGTTACTTGTCACCAGTTCTCCTGGTGGCTCAGCCAGCGCTGCAGTGCAGTAACTGGGCTTCTCCGTCCTTCCAGGGGACTGATCCTGCAGGACCTCACCTTCGTCCACCTGGGAAACCCAGACTATATTGACGGGAAAGTGAATTTCTCCAAACGGTGGCAGCAGTTCAACATTCTCGACAGCATGCGGTGCTTCCAGCAGGCGTGAGTCTCGCTGCCCTGAGGGGGCCCCAGGGGCAGCTCCCTGAGTGTCTGCCCAGAGGTGTGAAGAGACAGCTCCGAGGCGCCTGAGCCGAGAAGGAAAGCTAAAAAGGACCAGACAGACTCCCAGTGTGTTCAGCGGGGACGGGATGCCTGCTTCCTTCAGCTCTTGTCAGATGAGGAAGTGTTCTCAAAGGGCCCCACCCAGGATCGAGACCAGGGCTAGGGCCCGGCGATGGCAGCTGCCGTCTGCCCCATTTCACAGATGGGAAGCTGGTGCCCCGCTCACCCGGAGCAGGCCAACACGCCCTAACCTGCTTTACCGCAGGCTCATAGTCTCTCTTCCGTGACTCGAGGCAGCTGGGGGCAGCCAGGCACGGGAGCCCATCGGGGGTTGGACTGCTGAGGCATTAGGGGCTGAGGAGGTGTGGTCTTTCTGAGGTGTGCTGCACAGAGGGGAGCTAGGCTTGCCCAGCAGAAGGAGCTCCACCAGGAGCCCAGCTGCAGGGCCATTGCTCGGGGGGGCCTGTAGGGGAGTTGAGAGCACTGGCTTTGGAGTCCAGCTCATGCTCCAGGTGCTAGCAGCTTCATCTCTGAGCATTAGTTTCCTCTGTAAGATGTGGGCAGTAGTGGTCTGCTGCAAGGGTGGCTTGGGGCCCAGCACAGGCTGGCTCACGGGTCATGCTCCAAGAGGGAATCATTATGAGGCTTTTGCAGACCAAGTCAAGTCATTGGTAGTCACAAGGTGCCCCCAAGTGCAACTGGTAGAGCCCTTCACAGGTCAAGACTAGCCAGTGTCCTGCCCCATGCAGGAACCTGGCCAACGTTATCCCAGCCATACCTGACCTTGCCTGAGGGCTGGCCTCTGCTGGCACTGCCCCAGCCAGTACCATCCTCACAGCAGAGCTTCACAGTGACACCAGCTTCCCCATTTTACACAAATGGACAGTGAGTCCTCACAGCCAGGGAGTGGCAGAGCAGGGCTCTCGGGAACCTTCTGCCCACACTGGCTCTCACTGACTGCCTCCCTCCCCAGGCATTATGACATCCGGAGGAACGATGACATTGTAAACTTCTTCAATGACTTCAGTGACCACCTGGCTGAGGAGGCCCTATGGGAACTCTCTCTGAAAATCAAACCCAGGAACATAACAAGGAGAAAAACAGACCGGGAAGAGAAAACCTAGGAACAGCAGGTGCATGAGCAAGGCAAACGCTCAAGAGAGGCACAGCGGGCAGCTCCGAGACCGACGAGACTTTGGACCTGGTGCATGGCGCCAGCTCCCTCTCCCCGAGCGGCCTGCAAGTGGCCGGGCCTCAGAGCCCCAGGCTCAGCCAGGCCTCTGGTCTGATGGATGGGGCTAGCGCCAGAGCCTGCTGGCAGCTTCCCACCCCCACCTCCTCCCCGGGAGCAGACCCTGTGGCCCACAGAGGAGCCATCTGGGCAGGTGTTAGGACTGATTTGTGAACTGGTGGTTTCCTCATTTTTAAATGTTTTTCTGCTTTCACTTCTCTTTTGCCTCTCCCCCTCCCCCCACAGGCCCTGCAGCCTGGGAGCAGCACCGTGGTGGCATCAGCAGGCCTAGGAACAGAGGGACCCTCAGCACCCCTCAGCTGGAGGCCCAAGTGTTCTAAAGGGGCGTGTGAGTGAAGGCTCAGCAGAAGCCCCGGTGCTAGCTGCCCTCCAGAGAGCTAGGACGGAGGGGGACTCAAGGGTGGGTGCCCTGTTTACTCTGCATTCCCTGCTGTCTAAGCGGAGGATGGTGTGAGCTTTCACCTGTCCACAGACGTGTGGCAGGCAGCGTTTCAGTAGCCCCTCAGCACGGGACTGGCTTTCAGACCACCCTGGTGTGCCTGTGGGCTCTCCCTTGCTGGGCAGTGAGCAGGGGCAGCCTCTGTCATCTTGTGGCACCTTAGCCTCTCCCCACCCCACTCCGTGGTCCCTTTCCCCGTCATCTGACAGTTGTCCATCAGCTACTTTCAGAAGTGCTTTGGGGAACTGGGAAGAAGAGGTTGGAGTAAGGAAGTTTACCATCAAAGAAACCCTTCCCTATGCTAGGGGGCTTTTTAGCTTCTCTGCGCTGGGCGGTAGCTCTTAGGTGGGTTGGTCCAGAGAGAAAGGGGTGCAGAGGAGCATTTCTGTCCCAGGGAGAAGCCCATGGATCCCGTCTCCCATTGTATCTGTTGCTTGCTGTGTGCCTTAAACTCCACCTGTGCCCTCACAACCCTGGTCCCCAGGCTTCCCCCCAATCTCGCAGCCTCCTGGTGCAGCCAGGATGGCTCCTCCTTGATGCACCAGGCCTTCTCCCAGGGCTGTTGGCTCTCCCTGAGGAAGAACAGGGCATCCCTGAGAGGCCTGCCGGAGGCCCCCGAGGCCTGGCTGCTGAAGATCTTGGAAGCTGACCAGCCATGGCTCTCTGACCAGTTAGCAGGATTGCTTTCTCCTCTGGCAGAAGCATTTCTAAGAGCAGGGGCTCCTTCTGTCCTCCTTGTTAAAACCACTCTCACTGCTGAGATTGACAATCCTAGGCAGGGTTTCCAGGGGGGACCCCTGGGCCAGCAGCGAGCTCTTCATGTTAGCCAGGTGTGAGCTTTCCCTAGTGTGCTGGCCAGAATGCAGATGGGTTACATCTTGTCAGGGCTTTTGCCTCCCCACCCCATGCCTCCTAGGCCCTTTTTTGCGTGAACAATGCGCACTTCTGGGTTTGGGGAGTGGTCAAGCAGCTACCCAGGATCTAACTGTGTCTGACCCAGTTTATACAGTAAAGAAAGGGAGTAGAAGGCAACACCTGCTGACGATTTAGAAGGTTTTTGTTTTTTGGTTTTTTTTTTTTTAAGAAGCAACCACGTCACCTGAGTCTTCTGTGGGCTTTTGAGCAGCTAATCAAGAAGAAAATTTGGGCTGTTTTTTTTTTTGTTGTTGCTCTCTTTTTGTGTTCTTCAGTATATACCTATTGCCATCTAGTCGTTCCGACTCACAGTGACCCTACAGGACAGAGAAGAACTGCCCCATGGGGTTTCCAAGGCTGTAAATCTTTAGGGAAGCTGACTGCCACATCCTTCTCCCAAAGGGCGGCTGGTGTATCCAAACCGCTGACCTCTCGGTTAGCTGCTGAGCGCTTAACCACTGTGCCACCAGGTTCCTGTATATAGAAAGGAGAAATCTGTGAAATGTCAGTTAAAGTCCACCTCTGGCAGCAGTTCTGCTGGTGGCAGGCCGGATTGTGTCACTTTATTATTTAAAGCGCACGCATGTGCGTGCCTGTGTGCGTGTGTGCGTGTGTGTGTGGAGTCGCTGGTTTATTAACAGTATTGTGTGTGGGGGTTGGGGTTTTAGTTTGTTTCCTCTCTCTTTTTTAAGTCCTTTCATTTCAGTCTTTTCCACTTCCTTCCCATCTTGCATCTCACCCTGTGCCCAGATCTGTTGAATGCTGCTGTGTGTGCATTTGCCCATGTGTGTGCGCATGTGAGGGACCGCTCTGCACACAGGGCCCTTGAGTTGTACGAATTCAGATTCTCCCTGCATTTTTGAGGACCCCTAGGGGTCTTCCTCTGGAGCACGGCAAAGACGAATGCTGCATGTCAGCCTCCAAAACAGCCCCCCACACACCCATTGAGCGGGCAGACTGGTGTCTGTGGTCAGTCTGTCCACAGGCCGTCTCATTCTCAGTTATGAGCTAGAGCGGGGAAGGAGAGCCCCGCACCTTCCTTTAACTCAGAACAGACCTTGTGCCATCCTCAGGTGCTGGGCCCTCAAGCCCCCGGGGCCTCCCTGGGAGCCTGTGGTGTTCTGAGCAGCCGCACCAGGTGGCAGCCCCTGGGTGGGGTGAGCGTGACTGAAGATGGTGAGGTGCAATGCGCATGTGTTAACTTATTGGCTGGCAAGCTTCCCCGCCCTGTGCCTCGTTACAAGACACCCTCTTGGCCCTGGCAGTTGCCACATTCCACAGCTCAGAGCTACAGCCTAGGCCAGGATTTGTGAGTTTCTCGGGGAGGCTGTGGGTGGGTGGGTGGGGGTGGGAGTCAGTCCTTGCTCAAGATCATTGGTTCCCTTCAGAAAAAGGCGGTTCACACCTGGCAGGTGTGGGGGAAGCCAGGGAAGGGCAGGCGCCCCTGTGTCCAAACTGAAACCAATTCTGAGAAGCATCTCTGTCTCCTGCTGCCCCCCACCCTCCCCAAGTGTTACATTGTAATATAGATCCCCCAACTAACCCACCCAATAGTGGCATCTTCCTGCAGACATTTCAAACGTGTAACTTTTATATGACGGAAAATAAACACGAATGAAAGCTGCCATCTGGTTACTGTGTCTGTCCCCAAAGCAGCATGTATGCAATTAAAGGGACAGTGCAGAGTGCCCCATGCTGTCCTCACCCCCTCCCTCTGTCACCACCTCTCAGGCAGGCTGGGGGCACAGGTGCTTGGTGGCCAGAGAAGGGCAGCAATAGGACCCAGCCCCCAGCTCTTCCCCACGGGGCGTTCCTCTGAGTCTCAAGACCTGAGTTCTGTCCCCCTGGGTCTCATGCCCCCAGAAGCATTCAAACGGACGAGAGCCACATGTGTGCTAGAAGTGGGTTGGTGCACGAGAGCTCTGCCCCACCCGCACTGGCATCCTGGTGAAAAATGGCATTTCTAAGGGTGGAATTTTAGGGGGCACAGTGTGTCTGGAGCTGCCTTTCAGCACCCCTAAACTCCTGTCTTTGAAAGTATGCCTTGGCAAACTTCCATCCCCTGCTGCCCATAGGCAGTACTCTGAGGCTTGGGCCCAGCTTGGCCTGTTGCTTAGGGCAATCTGAGCCTCCTCGCCCTTTGCTCTGGTGCCCCTGGCTGCGGAGGGGACCTGGCGCAGCTGCGCTACGCCAGGCTCTTTGCAGGTGGGAGGTGACTTCTGCTGAACTCAGCCTGAGATGCTCCTCCGGGGTGAGCCTACATGCCAGGAAGCATTGGAGCCCCCCTGCACCCACACTACACCAAGAGAGGCCCATAGGTTCTACTCCCTTCCCTGCCTTGAAACCCCTGTGTCTTCTCCTCTGCAGGCAAGCCAGCTCTGGGAGCCCTTTGTCACTATCTCCAGGCTGGGAAGTGTCCTCCCAGAGCCATCTCAGATACCAGTCACCTCCCTGTTCCCTGCAACCAGCCCCAGCACTTCTGCAGCAAGACCAAGCACCCGAGTGTCTGCCACCTGGGGGATGCCAAGGAGTCAGGCTGAATCCTCTGGTATTGCGCTCCAGGCTTTCAGCCCTGCAGAAGGTGCCAATATGACAGCCCAGGGAAGTCCAGCGGTCCCACACCTCTGTCCACACATCAGGGTGGTACGTGAGGCTTACAGAGAATGGGACCTGGCAGAGAGAGGTGGATGGTGACTTGAAGGCAGTGTCTACCCTCAAATCCCACTGTGGAGCTGGTGGCTGCCTTAAGTGACCTCCACTCAACTACCCCAAAAGGTGGCAGCCTCAAAGTCTGTCCCTTTAAAGAGGGGGGACAGGTATTCCTGGGCTGGTCATACTTATTCATCATTGTACCCTGTAGGGTATACTGAAAACTTTCCTGTTTCTCTCATTTGCTAGCTGTGTCCTTGAGCAAATTGCTCAACTACTTGTGCCTCAGTTTCCCCATTAGCTACTGTTGTCCCATTTGACAGATGCACACCAAGGTGCACAGGGAGACCAGGTGGTTCCCACGTCCTCCACTCCCGTTTCCCCCATATGCCAACAACATCAAGAACTGGGCTGGGGCGGGGAGGGGAACTGGGCTGACCTAGCCTCAACATCTCCCTCAAGGAGGTGACAGGCCAGGCGGGGATCTGTGCTTTCCAGCCAGGGTCATAAGACATGGCTGCTGCAATTCACTGTGGTGTTTGGAGACTGGGGAGCTGCTCAGAGGTGGGAGCAGAGTAAATGCCCAAGTCCCACCTCCAGAGAGGAGGCTTGGATGGGGGTGCGGCTGGACCCAGGACCACGTAAAGATGACCTTGATGGCATTGCCACACAAAGGGACAGAGCCAGTGGTCCCACAGGTGGCTTCCCTTCTCCGCTCCACAGCTTTCCCAGCTGCAAATGAGGGAGGGTGGCAACAGCTTATCCCTCCTAAGTTCTTGAGAGAGTTCAGTGAGGTGATAACATGGAGTAGCGTTTGGTGAGCTGTCAGCTACTAGCGTTGCTTATTGAGCACTTTGCCAGCGGTTTCA